TACATAAAATTTCACTTTATGAGTATATTGTCACATAATTATTGTTCCATACTGGGCATTGTTTATTTCTATTTTTTTACATATATTCTTACATGAACATCTCTGTACACCAATTCAGTTTTTCATCTTTGATTTTTATGTTAGAACAAAATTGTGAAAATACAGAGCCAAAGGGTATGAACAGCAGTTCAAGGTTCTGGATATTTACTGCCAATTGGCTCTCCAGTAAAGCTGGAAACAGCTTACATACATATCATTATAAAAATATATTTATAATAGAAATCTTAAATATATCTTTTTTTTCTTATTTTTTAACATGAAGTAATCACACGAGAAAAGACATACTCAACATATTTGAGGGAGGCAGCACCTGAACTCTCAGGCCTGGAACACCAAATTAAACATCAGAAAAAGGTCTATGAAATAGTGAGAAAGTAAAAATGTATAGAAAATGAAGAAAAAATTTACAGAAAAGAGGATTTTCTGTGACATTTCCAGATCCCTTTATAATCAAAGTTTTCTTGAAAAATATCTTACTTAAGAGGAGAGATTCGTTTTTCAATTCATAATATATTATTTTGAGTAATGAAGTACATTTGAGAAAATAATTCATCAGAATCCTATTTATACTTCTTTTTTTAAAAACAATCATTTCAACTAAGATCTCTCTTTAAAATAATATTTATTGATTGATTTTAGGGAGAGAGAGAAAAACATCAATTTATTGTTCCACTTATGCATTCATTGGTTGATTCTTTTTAAAGTAAATTTATTGGGGTAAAATTGGTTGATAAAATTATATAGGTTTTAGGTATACAATTCTACAATACATTAGTCACATTGGTTGAATCTTGTATATGCCCTGTCCAGGATCGAATCCTAAACCTTGCAGTATCAGTACGGCACTCTCACAAAATGAGCTAGCTAGCCAGTGCTGGTAACCCCCCTTTTTTTAATGCATCAGTGCCAATGACTAAGCATGTTGGAATTTTCATAATAGTCTTTCAACATAACAAATCCTGTAATACTTTTTCATGTGCTGGTCACTATATTCAAGACATACTTTATGCTAAATGATGACTCTCCTTTACAATAGAAACAGAAACTCCTTATTCATTAATATCCTAATGATGTCCCTATTCAGACATTAGCTCTGTTATAACTGAGATAAAACATTGCTGTTCTAACATTTTAACTAAAAAGTGACTAAATTAGAAGAACATAACTTGGACAATGTTAAATTCAGTTTTAAAACGTCCAGGTGATTGAATAAAATTTCGGAACCTAAGCCATATGATCCTGGAGTTCTGGTAATCATTTTCTATCACTAACTTGAAAGATAAATAATGTCTGTTAGAATAGCTCCATCTAAAGCCCTCTTTTCTGAATTATGAATGCAGGCATGGATTTTGATTGTACAGAGTTCATATAGAACTGTAACCTGCATCATGAAACTTTGGAAGAGAAAGAATCCTGATTTGCCCAAATCTTCACAGCAGGTTGGCAGTTGTGCTGACTGGGAGCTCAATTACCAAGCCTTGCACTCTCTGTACCCATCCCATTTCTCCTTGTCCTCTGCTTCACACTGGCTTGGATAACTCATTTCTCTATACATCCTGCCAGAATGCTCAATCTGTAGTATGAATTAAAAATCACAACAATAAAGGTTCTATAATATTCCATTATATCTTTCAGAATTCAGAGTAAACCAAAGCCAACTTCTGAAATCATAAAAGCATTCAGAAAAAAAGTTTTTTAACAATGCTTATCAATATCTAGATCTAAATTTATTTATTATTATTGCTATTGCTATTATTTTTTTAAGAAAAATATCCTCATAATTTGAGTCATTTGCAAATAATGGGAATAGGCGATAAAAATAAATACCACATTCCTCCACTGTCATCCTCTCTCTCTCTCTCTCTCTCTCTCTCTCTCTCTCTCTCAGACACACACACACACACACACACACACACACACACAAACTATCCATATGACTATTTCCCAAAGACTGCCCAGAACCTATCCAATGTGCCCTCTACCCCAGGCCATTGCCCATGCATGAATCTCCACCAGTACTCAGAACTAGACTGCCCAGAAATCCTTACTGAGGCCAGAGTTGATCAAAATGGAAGGAGGCAGAGTATCCCTCAGACCCCCTCTCCTTGTATTTTAGTATTCTCTCTGCTTCCAGGTCTCCCCCCCCCCCACCCAGCTGTGACAGCCCCTCTCCCCAGCTCAACTACTTAATAAACCTACCTTTTGTTTGATTCCTATAGCATAATACAATAAAAGTCAAAGAAGGGCTAAGTCACCCTGGGGAAATGGATGGGCAGGGAAAACAATGAACAGAGAATCAGATGATAGAGATTCTCATCCCAGCTGTACCACTCACAGGTAGGGCCTTATGGATCTCTGGGCTGAAACAGTAAATTAAGGGGGTTAGGATGGGTTGTTTCCAGATGTGGCCCTAAGCCATACCTTTCAAGGTCCAGGATGGCTGCATTTTAATCAGAATAAAGAGCCCTCGGGCATCAAAGAGTCCATGAGTGATGGAGTCACTTCAGGTGTGGTGGCTGTACACCGTGGCAGCACCTCCTCCTTCCATCACTCCAGAGGCCTGGCCGGAGGACATGCAGTGAGGCTCCTAAGGATAAAGCTCACACTCAGCCACCCTACAGCCATCTGCATTTGCCCCAGGTTTGGGGACTTACCCAATGATTTTGTTCCTGGACCAAATTCTTCCACAAAAAGTCACCAAATGTTTGTCACACCCTTAGGACAAACAATTTTGATTAGCCACTTCTGGTTTGTTTTGCTTAGTTTAAAATACATAGCTCAAGAGTAAACAGGTTCTTGAAAAAGATATTAGGGTTCACCAAGATAATAGACACATTCAGGAGTTTGTTCACTGGAATCATTCATTATTCCCAAAGCATTGGATTCCACCCTGTACATTATAAAAAAGAAGCAGGCAACCACCAACCAAATGGCAATGAAAAAGCAACAGAAGGTTATGCCTGGCATAGCTGCAAGCATAGAACATAAGACTCACCCAATGGCCTGTAAGCACCAGTGGGCCAGGGGTTTACATCTAGAATAGATACTAGCATACAAAGGTACTCAGTAAACTTTTGTTAAATGGTTGAATAATGCCACAGGTGGATAAATGAGCTGAGAAGGAAAAAGCAAGAAAATCAGGCAAAGGTAAATCTAACTGTTCTATGGGATTACAAAGAAAATAAGTGTGTGTGTGGGGGGGGGGTAATCATTATAGGGCAAGACAATGAGCAAATTCTATTGGTGGTGTTTTTTCCCCTGGTGCAAAAACAGCTGATCCACCCCACAGCTGTGGATAGAACAAGTGGGTACCATGAGCCGAAGACAAGCAGTTCAGCACAAAAGAATGCAAGGACCAATTCTCCACTTTTGCTAGAATGTGAACTTCCATTTAAAGACTCTCCAGGTGCCCCCTCTTCCTTCCTCACCTCCCTATTTACTCCCACATGCCCTTTCCTTATATCAGTATATGTCTGGTTTTGTGTCCCTTATTCCATTTTGTTTTGTCACTTTGTAGTATAAACTGGGAATAAACACTTTATGAAGGTGTTTAGGAGGTAAAAGGGAATTAGAATATACTCAGAACCTCATCTGTGTTGTCATCTTGTAGCAGTCTACAGAGCTGCAGGATTCTAATACAGAGAGGCTGGCAATTGGGGGGTGGAGGAGGGAGGGTTTAAAACTATATATGACTCTCCATGATGAGATTTGTAAAATCTGCATTTCATTGGCTTACAAGTAATTTGAGACAAATGTTATATTAAATAATCTTCTTTTTCATCTGCTTGTGGTATTTAGAAGAGGAGACACATACAATGATTTATGATGGCTTTAGATGTAAGCAGATTGTCCTGAGATCCTCAGCCAAACTAAAGAATCCAATCATAGCAGCAAATGAATTTGTGCTTTTGTTCACTTATTCATAGATTTATTCATTTCACAAATATTAGACATCCATTCTGTACACTAGGAGAACCATACAAGTGAACAAAAAAGAGTTCTTAAATTGGTTTACTTTTCCACTTTCAGATTTCACAGTCCTATACCAGGTTCCCCCAGAAGTGAGGAATTTATTTTACTTTCTACAAAAATGTTTATAAAGATTAGTGGAGGGGAAGTCGAGGGGTGACGGAGTGAATAAAAGCTACACAGACCATATCCCAGGACCAAACTGGAATTACAACTAAAATAAAGACTAATCATTAGGGAAAAAAACAACAGAAAAGCAGCTGGAGAAGAACTGTATAACCAGGGATGGAAAGAGGACACCAAATCAAGCCTGGTAGGAACTGTGGAGGCATGAGAAGGCAGGCTGGGAACCCACGGATCGCAGCTGAGGGCTGTTTTAGCTGCGAGCAGTTTCCTCAGGGTGAAAACCCCAAACTGGCTCCACAGCACAGAGTGCCAGGACAGAACACTAAATTACCTACAGCCACTCACCTTGGGCTCTGGCAGAGGGAGGGCAGAGTGTTCTGGAACTGTGTGGGAAAACTCCAGAGTTTGGAGAGCTGGGAGGGCACTGGAAGTTTTATGCTAAATCACTCCCTCATAGGACAGTAGCCATATTACTCACAGGCCCTTCCCAGAGCCACAGGGAGAAGAAACAGCCCCTCCCTCAGGGTCATAACTATACCAGGCCAGGCCAGAGAACTGCAAATTGAGGGCTCATTAAAAACTAGAGACCCCAGCAAGCATCTGCCCCACCAACTGAAAATCTTCTTACCCTGAAGACCTGCACGATTCCTTCATTCAGCTGAGGGCTACAACCCAAGGCTCATCAAGTAACTGAGACAAAAAGCCACCAGGCAAAAGCTGGAAAAAAATTGACCTGCAAATTTACCCAGGAAAGTAAGACCTGACAGTTGTGTTTAACATGGGCCCTCCCACACTCATTTAAACTAAGTAAAGGGAACCACAATCAGCAAAACATCAACACTTACTGATCCGTCCCGCAGGTCAAGCAACGAGGACTCTCGAGGGGGAGTGAGGATGAGGAGGGACAAGAGACATGAGAAATGGAGACAAGACAGGGTTCTGATCAAGTCTAGTTTATTCTAGGGAGATCCACACAATATATAGGGCAAGAAGCAGAAAAACAAGAACATTTGTTGCCAAGCGATAAGTTTGTGGTAACCACCCGGAAGCAATTTCAAGTAAATATCACGTAAATATTATGCGTGGAACAAAAGATAAACAGAGCATAACTGGCTGAGTAAATGGTTACTTAAAGGAATGCAGAAACATTGTATGCAGAGCAGATTTTAACAAAATGGATGCCATGCAAAAAGTCTCCCACAGGTCCCCCTTTCCTTTAATTTTAAGGCCGAAATAATACCTTGAGGGGACTGTGTTTCCTGTCTTAGGTCAGGAAACTTGCACACGGAGCCAACCTGTCTGAACCTGTCATTGGAACAGCAAAGCAGCATAAGGCATTGTTCCTTGTCTTAGGTGGTGGTTGGCGATGCGTGTGAGTTCCAGTTGCCCGTCTCTGGCTATCCAGTCCAGCGCACCAAGGTAACAAGGTTTTTGAGACTCACTATTTGCCATCTCGGGCATAGTCATAGCTTACTGACTCACAGCTAGAGTGAGCTTCTCTGTCGGCCATTTCAAGTCTATGATAGTGGACCTGTATAGATTGCATCTTAATGGCATCTATCTGCTGCTTGATGAAAGCCATCACCTTATTGAAGAGGGAAGGTCCTAGTGACACAATTAGTAAAAGGCCAAGTAAGGGGAAGGCAGCACCCCATTTAGCCCGCTCCAAAGGGGGTTATCAAAAAGTTCTTTTCTCCTTTTTATCAGGTCTTCTTGCAATTTCTTGATCTTGTCCCGAACAACGACAGACTTATTGGAATAGAAGCAGCAACGTTCCTGCAAGGCAGTCGCATGGGGGGGGGGGGCAAATAAAGCCCTCAGTAGCTCACCAGGGTTTGGAGGAGGCCCAAAACCTCCTTCCAGAAGCAGGCAAAGATGCAGTAGTATCCCAAGCAGTAAGATTTCAGCCTTCCAGTCCATTCCTGAAATAAAGAAAAAAACAGGAAAAGGCTCTCAGGGCGAATTTTCATCCCTGGAGTTATCTATATGGTTATCTGTTATTCCTTTAACTTGATCAATCTGTTTAACCAGACGCTCTGGTAGCCATCTGGCAGATTTCATTTTCTTAGAGTAAATGCATACAGAACCTCAGCCCCAGATGAGGACTGGGTCTGGGCCATGCCAAGAGTTGGTTAGCGGATCTTTTCATAGTACTGATGCAAATTGTTTTTGAGTTTCTGTATGCCAAAAGTGATTAGCAGCAGATCACCCATCAGTGTCCAAATTTTAAAAATTGAGGATAAATAAGGCATGAGAGAGAATATTTCTGGGTGACCCCTCATGGGGTACCATTCCCCCTTTTTTATTTTATTAATGGTGATCTTTAAAGACAGATGTGCTCTCACTACAATCCCTTGGCCCTGAGGGTTGTAAGGTATACCTATTATGTGTTGAATGTTGAGGCATTTGCAAAAGTGGGAGAAGGCTGAACTTGTATAGCCTAGGCCGTTATCGGTTTTCAATTGCTGTGGGCATCCCAGAATTGTAAATGTGGTTAGCATGTGACTGATCACATGTTTTGTGGCTTCACCAGTTTGGAGGGAAGCATAAATAAATCCACTAAAGGTATCTATGATAACATGTCCAAATTCAGAGATGTGAGTAATATCCATCTGCCATAATGCATTAGGGATTAGTCCCCTTGGGTTTACTCCAAGGTGGGGGACCGGCAAATGAGTGGCACATAGGGGCAGTTTTTAACAATTTGCCTAGCCTGTTCCCTAGGAATCTGATGCATGAGGCGAAGCATTTTAGCATTGAGATGATGTAACTGATGACTGTTCTGCGCTAGGGTGATTTTATCAGAGCAGTTATCAATGGCTGTAAACACTTGATTAGAATCCTGGAGGCGAGTAGCTAGGTCAGCTTTTTGGTTTCCCTCAGCAAGAGGTCCTGGCAGCCCAGAATGGGCGCATAAGTGGCCTACGTAAAATGGGTGAACTCTTTTTGTAATTAGTTTCTGTAACTGCCTAAACAAATTTCCTGCATTGGATATGTTTTTTATTTGTCCAGCTGTTTCTAATAGAGGTAAAGAATGTGTGATGTATGCACTATCTGTGTAAATATTGAGAGATTGATTCGGGAAGGCAGAAAAAACAGCAACAGTGGCTTGTAGTTCTGTTAGTTGAGCACACATGCTGTTGGTCATAAATGACACTGTTTGGTCCAGATAAGTGTAAGCAGCTCTACCTGTCAAGAACCCATCAGTAAATACTAGTAAGGCATTTCTCAAAGGCTTAGATGCTGTGAGTATAGGAAAGGTAAACTCATGTTTGTTGACAAAATCAATAAGTTTGTCTGGTGGATAATGATTGTCTAGAAGTCCTGCATAAGAGGCTAGGGAAATGGGCCAAAATTCAGTGTTTTGCATGAGCCAGCTAATTTGGTCCATGGTATTGGGTTGTATAATGATATCTGGCTCCTTACCAAAATAACATTTCCCTTGTTCCCTACCCATCATAATGAGATTGGAAACTGACTGATAATATGGCTCAATGACCTTTTTTGGAGTGGCTGGCAAGTGGATCCACATTAAGGGTGCTGTCTGCCAGAAAACAGCAGTAAGGGAGAGAGCAGCCTTACAAATAATAAACTTTAAAGGTTTAGTGTAATCCATAAATGTGGTTGTTTGAGAATGGATAGCCTGTTCGACTTTGCGTATAGCCTGTTTTCCTTCTAAGGTAAGTTCACGGGGAGAAGTAGGGTTAGCATCTCCCTGTAGTATATCATACAGGGGTTTAAGCTCTCCTTTACTGATTTTTAAATAGGGCATAAGCCAATTAATGTCCCCTAGCAATTTTTGAAAATCATTTAGGGTTTTAAGCTTGTCTAATTTTAGTTCTAATTTTTGAGAGGAAATTAGGGACCCTCGCATTTGAAAACCAAGATATGTATAAGGGTCTGTGAGTTGGACCTTCTCAGGGGCTATTTCCAGGCCTTTGTCTCATAAGGCAACGCACATCACCTCATAACATTTCAAAACTTCGCTCCCTTCTTTTCCGGCTATGAGGATATCATCCATGTAATGTATAATGCACATATTTGGCCGATTGTCTCTAACTAATTGTAAGGCTGAGGCTACAAAGGATTGGCATAGGGTAGGGCTATTAGCCATTCCCTGTGGCAGAACACGCCATTGGAATCTTTTCATAGGCACTTTGAAATTTATAGTCGGTAAACTAAATGCAAATCGCCTCTGATTATCTGGATGCAGAGGAATCGTAAAAAAACAATCCTTTAGATCAACAATGACTTTGAAATAACCCAAAGGTATGGCAACAGGTGAGGGAAGTCCTGGTTGTAAGGCTCCCATTAGTACCATAGTCTTATTTACAGCTCTTAAGTCTTGCAATAGCCGCCATTTGCCAGATTTCTTTTTAATGACAAAAATAGGAGTATTCCAAGGGGAGTTACTAGGGACAATGTGGCCAGCATCAAGCTGCTCCTGTACCAGCTGTTGTGCAGCCATCAGTTTTTCTGCTGTTAAAGGCCATTGATCAACCCACACCAGCTCCTCAGATAGCCATGTGATCTTTTCTGCATGGGTAACAGGAGTGTCAATGGCCCCTATGGAAAATGGCCTAATCCTGCCCTATCAGTCTTTGGGGATGGCTCTATGGGTTCTGTTATGCCCATATTATTTTTTCCCAGCCCTTGGCCTGTTAGATATCCAGTTTTCAACATTTGGGTAGTAATAACAGCATTCAGGCTTCCCATTATTAATCCTAATTGGGATAAGAAGTCTCTACCCCAAAGATTTATAGGCAATCCAGCTATAACATGGTTGTATGGTGCCCTGGATACCTTCCTGATCTTTCCAAGTTAATAGCTTTGAACTTCTCTCTGGGTTTTGACTTTGCCCTATTCCTTTTAGGTGAGTCAAAGTTGTGTCTAGGGGCCAGGCTGTAGGCCAGTCTCCCTTTTTAATTATTGTGACATCAGCCCCTGTATCTATAAGCCCTGAAAATTTCTTACCATCTAACCAGAGAGACATAATGGGTTTTTGTGCTAATATGACCTCTGCCCAGTAAACATCTGATGATCCAAAGCCTTGATCACCTCTTTGTCCTGATACTGCCCTATTTGTGGTGGGCATCAAAGGCAGGAGCAGCAATTGAGTGAATCTTTGTCCTGTGATGACAGTATTAATATTTTGGGGGGATGATACCATAACCTTAATTTCTCCAGAGTAGTCATTGTCTATAACTCCTGGAAGGACTTGTAGTCCATTCATTGTTGAACTGCTACGTCCTATTATTAGTCCAAATGTGTTTTCTGGCAGAAGGCCAAAAATTCCAGTAGGAAGGGCCTGAACTCCCATTTCAGGAGTTAATACTGTGTAGGTGGTGGAACTGAGGTCCAATCCTGCGCTTCCTGTGGTGGCTCTGAGGAGGTTTGAAATGGATTGTTGTTTGCTGGAACAAAACTGACTGCCCCAAAAATTTGTTTGGGTTTGGGGGCCTGGGGCTGGCCCCTGTGCCCGTTTCCCTGCATCAGGGGTAGTTCATTACCCTGAACATCTTTTTTAGACCTACATTCATTAGCCCAATGTTTCCCCCTTTTACATCTAGGGCAAACTCCTGGAGTCTGAGTTTTTGAGTTATTAGTGGGATTTTCTTTACAATTCCTTGCGAAATGGCCAGTTTCCCCACAGTTAAAACATTTACTCTTGTTTTACAGGGATAAGAACTGTCTAACTGTATACCCTTGCAAGGCGGCAGCCATGGCAAGGCCCTGTTGATAGGCAGCCCCAATATCAGAGCATAGGCAAATATAACCAGTTAAATCAGACTTTTTCTTATAAGGTCTAATAGCGGCTTGACAGGCGGCATTAGTGTTTTCAAAAGCCAATTGTTTATCAAAATCCATGCCGGTGTCTGCATTACCGAAAATTCTGCCTGCTGCAATAATTAAGCGGTGAACAAAATCTGCAAAAGGCTT